TTGTGTTGCGATCGAAACATCGTAGTTTAAAAAAAAATACTTGAACCCATCTACGTGACTTTACCGAAAGACCCAAAGAATATTAATTCCTGCAGTCACGAAAGCTTTAAGTCAGGATTTGTCCAGCAATAGTCTGCAAATATCGATGGGCTCCATTTGCTCTGATAGCGTTTCTCCATTGTTGCAATGTCCTGGTGAATTCGCTCGCCATGCTCCTCGCTCACTGCTCCGCAGTTCGGTGGGAACAAATCTAGATGCGAGTGAAAAAAATATATATCTTTAGTGACATGTTGCAACCGAGGCTTTTGTGTACTTTGAGGAGGGTTTCCACCAACTCCCTGTAGTTGTCTGCCTTGTTGCTTCCGAGAAACTTTGTTGCCACGAACTGGAAGGCTTTCCATGCCGTCTTTTCCTTGCCACGCAGTGCACTGTCATTGGCATCATCTCGAAGAAGTTCACGAATCTGAGGACCAACAAAGACACCTTCCTTTATCTTAGCTTCACTTAACCTTGGACATTTTTCACGGAGGTACTTGAAAGCTGCTTGTGTTTTGTCCATGGTTTTGACAAAGTTCTTCATCAAGACCCAGCTTGATGTGTAAGGGTGGTAACAAAATCTTCCTTGATTCAACAAGTGGTGGATGCTGAACACTTTTCCTCCCAGGCTCCAATGACTGCTGGAGTGGCCAATCTGTCTTGATGTAGTGGGAATCTCTCGTAACGACTATCCCATTCGCAGAGAAAACAGCAGCAGTACTTTGTGTATACAGTCTGTAGACCAAGCAAGATAGCAACAATCTTTAAATCGCCACAAAGCTGTCACTGATGTTGGTCATAGTCACCTCAAAAGTTGTTTCATGTTGTCATAGGTTTCCTTCATATGGACTGCATGACCAACTGGAATTGATGGCAAAACATTGCCATTTTGCAGCAAAACAGCTTTAAGACTGATCTTCGATGAATCAATGAACAGTCTCCACTCATCTGGATCAAGAACAATGTTGAGGACTGCCATCACACCATCCACGTTGTTGCAGGCTACAAGATCACATTCCATGAAGAAGAAGAGGAGAAGATCCTTTTGACGGCCAAGGAACACGGAAACCCTGACATCACCTGCCAGGAGATTCCACTGCTGCAGTCTGGAGCCCAACAGCTCTACCTTACTCTTGGGTAGTTCCAAATCCCTGACAAGGTCTTTCAGTTCACATTGTGTTATGAGGTGTGGTTCAGAGGAAGAGGATGATGGGAGAAAATCTGGGTCATGTGACCCTGATGGTTCAGGACCAGAAGTTCCATCTTCTTCCTCATCTGACACAAGTGAAAATGTTTCTAGTGCACCAGGAACCAGCAGTCCTTCTCCGATGGGTACTGGGCGTATAAGCTGATGGAATGTTTGGATAATGCACAGTCCACTTTTTGTTCCTTGACACACCTTTTTTAACTGGAGACGCCATGCAGAAGTAACAATCGCTGATATGATCTGTTGGCTTTCTCGATATAATTTGCACTGAAAAAGGCATAGATTTCCTTTCCCTGTTAAACCACTGGCGACGATTTGTTACACAAGTGTTGCAGCATATGCGTGGGGCCCAGATCTTGTCCTGATCTACAAATTTGCAGCCAAAATAAAGCTGATAGGCTTTCTTAACTATAGTGGTTATACTGCGCTTTTGTAATGCAAAAGTCACTTCACCACAAACATAGCAGAAGTTATCTGCTTTGTTGACACAAGAACGAGGCATCTCTGCTCACTTTCACTAAACAGAAACGTGTCCTTTTGCAAAATCAAACACTGACAAATAAGAGAGCACGACACTGTATGATTTCTAGAGCTGACAAAGGGCAATTTGTAAGCATAGTCATCATTGCATCATCCATGACTTCTCGGAATAACATGACGCAATTCCTATCATTTGTGACACAATACCAGGTTCAGATTGCATCATTCATTGTTTTGCTAAAAATGAAAGTACTGTCCAACCCCAGACGTAGATTTATTCATAGATCCAGTCAAAGATGTATTTTAGTCACTACTGGTTTAAATTGAGAGCCCTTCCCTTTATAACTTACTTATCCTCTGCCATTCCCAAGTCAAGGGTCGTATATACTGACCCAGTAGCATACATTAAAAACTAGAGCCAATCAACAATTGTAAGCATCATTTTCATTCTCAGTGACCCAGAATTAGTCAAATTGGACTACATTTATTTTGGAAGCATTCTGGCTGCAGACCAGTGTTTTCTAAGTGGTGGATATTTTGAATGTAGGGTGATCTGAGTGGAGGATTTTGTGAGTGGTAGATTATCTGAGTAGTGGATATTTTTAATAGAGGATGATCCGAGTGGAGGATTTTGTGAGTGGGTAATGAATATTTGAATGGTGGATGATCTGAGTGGAGGATATTGTAAGTGGTAGATTATCTGAGTGGTGGATATTTTGAATGTAGGGTGATCTGAGTGGAGGATTTTGTGAGTGGTAGATTATCTGAGTAGTGGATATTTTTAATAGAGGATGATCCGAGTGGAGGATTTTGTGAGTGGGTAATGAATATTTGAATGGTGGATGATCTGAGTGGAGGATATTGTAAGTGGTAGATTATCTGAGTGGTGGATATTTTTAATAGAGGATGATCCGAGTGGAGGATTTTGTGAGTGGGTAATGAATATTTGAATGGTGGATGATCTGAGTGGAGGATATTGTAAGTGGTAGATTATCTGAGTGCAGAATATTACGAGAGTTCGACGCTTACATCATTGCACTAGCATGTTTTTCTTAAGGTTGCCCCGCAACAAACCCAACCCCTGGCACCGCTTGCTGACATTTACGATCCCACCAGGGAGAACAACAACAACAACAGACAGTCGCTACACGAGGGCCTGCCGCTCGTGTAGCGTCGCCTGCGCTTTCCTCCACAGCACCGAGCGCCGTGCGGCAGTGACTAGGGGGGGGGGGGGATGGCTGGGCACCACCCGAGCCATGAATTTGGCAATATCTGTGGGGAAAAAAAAACCCGCAAATGCATCTGAGCTGCGCCGAGGTCTCTAGACCTCTGCACGGAATTATTATCCACAGACTCTCTGCCAGTACAAATAATCAGATGCAGACCCCAGGGGGCTCAGCCTTCATTGTTTGTGCCCGTGGTGTGTGGCGCCATACGTGAAGGCGGGCACTTGTCCACGTGTGTGTGTGTTTCTTCGCGCGCGTGTGTGTAAACATGGTGAGCAGGGGCGCAGGGGTTAGCGCACTCCGCTACGAGCTCGTCGACCCGCGCTAGATTCCCGCTCACGGCGGCCAACATCAGTGACGGTTTAACTGAATCGGTCGTGGATTTCCCCTCGGTCGACTACAGCCTCAAATGAATACGTGGTGCGGTGTGTAAACATCGGCATTGTAGAGACAAAGGCGGCCGGCCATGTATCTGGCCACCCATCCCCCTCGTGTGCCACAGTGCCGGCGATCATTGGTGCTCGAAAACAGCGCTTGCCCCAACAGTCCGTTAAGGCTTTACGGGGGACCTTCGCCTGTCTCTGTGTGTGTCCGTGTGTGAGGTTAACGTTGCGTGGTGGTTCGTCCACTGCGTCATGAACCCTGCGACCTAATTTCACTTCCCGCCCATGGCTAACATCAGTGGCGATTCATATTTGAAGTGGTTCTGGGCCTCCCCTAGGCTGACTCGGCATTAAATTAGTACAGCGCCTCCTAAGCACTGCGGAGACACAAGTGGCCCGGTCTACAAGGAGCCTTTCACGTGCTGTGCTGCCTGTAAAATCGGTGCTCGCTAACAGCACTCGCCCCAGCATCCCATAAAGGCAATCGACTGCTGAGGGCTTTGTTGTCCACCACGTATCTGCTGCATGTCTGTAAACGAACGTGCGAATATATGGGTGAATGCGTCTTGTGTATGCGTGCGTGTGCGATCTGTACCCTGCGTAGTCCACGTTGATGTCACACAGCAATTCGAGGGCAAACATAACGATCTAACAACGACTCGTTCATAACGCTGACGAGTCGTTTTGCAATTACTTGTAGCGGCGTCTCGTTCAGGGGCACACAAAGAACACGGGCTGACGAGATGTTTTGGATTCTCGAAGCCTCTCAGAAATGAGATGTTGCAGCGACAGGCTTGCGTGCCTCTGTCTCTGAGTGGCCTCTGTTCTGAGCCCAGACAACGCTGCACAAACACCATGCCGGTGCATGCATGCGGATACCTATACTTCTTCATCCACGTCTGTGCATATCTGTATGCGTCTGTGTGCTTGTCCGCATTCGCCAAAACGTGCGCCTTTCTGCCTGCAGTGCGTGCGTGCGTGCCTGTGCACGCGTGGGGGACGGTGGTGTAGCAGTTTAGCGCGCTGCGCTACAAAACCAGCGACCCGAGTTCGATTCCGGTCCTGGGCCTCCCCGAGGTGGATTTGGCCTCAAATTAGTATCTGGTGCGATGTGTATAACACGTCGCGACTAGGGAGACAAAGGCGGCCGGGCGTGGTGCTGGCCACCCATCCCATTGCGTGCCGTTCCGGCCTTTATGGGCGCTGCTCGCTAACAGCACTTGCCCCTACAGTCCGTTAATGCTATACGGGGGATCTTCGTCTTTGTTTCGTGTATGTGCGCGGGGAGTGTAACGTGCCGTGTCCATTATGCAAGTGATTGGGCGAGGTGCCGCGTGAAAGGCACGGCATGCGGGAGCATGAGCAAAGGCCATCCTTCACCGTGCACCTCACGCCCGCTTTCCACAATAAAATATTCTCGGTCATGGTTTTCGAATTTCCATAACGGGGGTAAATGCATTTTTCATGCTGCGGCTTCGGGCAGCGGGGTGCTTAATAAGTAAGGCAGTGCAGCCCCATCGGTGATCATAAGCGAGCAACCGAATGCAATAGGAGCCCGTAGCTAAGCTGTTTGGGGCGATGATGTGGCGATTAAACGCGATATTTGTCAGCAGCGCGCGGCCGGCGCGCGTGCCCGCCCGGCGGCTCTGCGAGCGGCGCGCGCCAGGCGTCGTCGCAAGCGCCGTGCGGGTTGGCTGCAGAGGCATCGCTCCACCTCCTCCTGCCTTCCTGCCCAGCCCCCTCCACTCCATCCCTTGATTTAAAGCAGCCAGGAGGAGGGGAGGAAGGGGGGGGGGAGCAGAGCAGGGGAGTATACGCGATATGCTCTGTCTGCTGTTTGCTTAGTGCGATTGACTGCGACTAATCGGCGGAGCGAAGGAGGCGCGCGAGGCGTGAGCGCTTCCACAGCCGCCGCGGAATCCGCCGAGCGCCGGGAAAGGGGAGAGGAGGGAGAGGAGGAGGGAGAGGAGGAGGAGGAGGGAGAGCGAAGTCGCCGGGCTCCGTGCCGCCGACGTCTCCCGCGGACGCGCGAGCGGCACGCGGTCGCCGCGATGCCGTTCATCCCAGGTACGAGATTTTCCTCCGCCCCCATTGCTCTTCCTCGGTCACTGCACCGCGGCGCGACCCCCTCCGAGCCGCGCTCGGGGCTGCGGGGCTGGCTGTGTGTGAAGGCGGAGGAGGTGGGAGTCACGAACAATCCACATCCCGGCTCGTGTCTTTTGACACGTGCGTTCCACCGCCTGATTTCATTGCGACGAGGCTGGCGACCGCGACCTATGAGCCCCCGTCGACAGGTGATACGCTCCCGCCGCAGAGAGAAGTGGAAACTTCAGCGAGAGATGTCGTGAAGGAACGAGGCAACAGGTGTCGTTTGTTTGCAATGATTGTTTGAAGCGTTGTTAATGTTCGGTTGTCGAACGCGATGGACGTGCGAGTCGCTGGCAATCCTCGACCTGTCCGTCGTGCGTGCCTGGCACTTTCGTGCAACGGTATTTCGTCCCCCCAATGCATTCGCGACGGACCCAGGGGTGCCTCTCCGATTCTGAGTGCTTATACATCGAGTCGTTTTGTTAAAACGAAACAAACACGCTAGAGCTATTTTCATTTTTTTACAGTCACTTAGTTAACGTTGTTGTTGTTGTTTTATTGCACAAAGGCGCTCTCGGCTGAACTCAATTGAACTCGAAGCGAGAATGAACTTTGCACACATAGGCTTTCGCGTGAAGCCCACTCCGAACACAATGGGGACTCGGCGCTGACCAACACCGGGACGGGGCAGTGGTCGTGTGCGTCGCCCTCAGCCACCGGCGTGGCAAGTAGCAGCGGTAACGGCAGTAATAGCAGCAGGAGCAGCAGTAGTAGCAGGAGCAGCAGAAGCAGCAGCAGGAATATCAGCAGCAGTAGTAGCAGGAGCAGCATAAGTAGCAGTAGTAGCAACAGCAGAAGGAGCAGCAGCAGCAGAAGCAGCATCAGGAATAGCAGCAGCAGTAGTAGTAGGAGCAGCAGTAGTAGCAGGAGCAGCAGAAGCAGCAGCAGTAGTAGCAGCAGCAGTAGTAGCAGAAGCAGCATAAGTAGCAACAGCAGCAGGAGCAGCAGTAGTAGCAGGAGCAGGAATAGCAGCAGCAGCAGTAGTTGTAGGAGCAGCAGTAGTAGCAGGAGCAGCAGAAGCAGCAGCAGGAATATCAGCAGCAGTAGTAGCAGCAGTAGTAGTAGCAGAAGCAGCATAAGTAGCAACAGCAGCAGGAGCAGCAGTAGTAGCAGTAGCAGGGATATCAGCAGCAGTAGTAGTAGTAGGAGCAGCAGTAGTAGCAGGAGCAAGAATATCAGCAGCAGTAGTAGCAGTAGTAGTAGGAGCAGCAGTAGCAGCAGTAGTAGCAACAGCAGTAGTAGCAGCAATCCTCGAGAATTGCTCTGCCCAGAAATGAGAGTGGAGCTCCCCTGGCGGGTGTACAGGTGGTGAGCATTTCCCGTCGTAGAATTTAATTTAATTGATACAAAAGGAGAGACAATCTCTTGATATCATTAAAGGGGGTTGGTGGGGGGGTTCTTCTCTCAAACTCTGGGGGCTGGCACGAGCCGCCACTGCCTGGCGAGGAGTGTTCGCTGACGCGGCGCTATCTCAAGTGGCGCATTTGTTGCCGTGAGTGTCGCTTTTGTTACTGCGCGCGCGCGCGCCTCGGATTGTGTCGCATCCCGGAGACTACGAGGCCGCCGCGATCTCGCCAGAGATCACCCGCGCGCCCCCCCCCCCCCCTGCCTAGCCGGCTCAAAGCCCCCCTCCCCCACCCCCTCGGGGCAGGGAACCTTAACCATCACCCCCACTCCCTCGAGAAGTCCTCCGATCAGTTCTCATTGCGCTCAAACCCCACACATCTTCCCCCCCCCCCCCTTCAGCTAGACCAGAGGAAGAGAGTGATGGATGATGTTAAGCGAACCATCCTATAAAATATGAACGACTTTGTAAACTCGCATCCTGTAAATACGCCTCGGTCCGCGCGAGTGAGTGAGTGAGGATGCACGCACGCAAGGCTGCGCGCGGTACATTGCCGACTTTTGCTGATATCACGAAACAACAGAATTCACGCAACACACACACGCGCGCGCGCACGCGCGCTCATATTGTCTTATACATCGCTGATATTGATCGGTATGGAAACCGCAGCGTTACACCGAGGCGCACGGAGAACGGCAGTCGACGCGATTTGTAAAAGGGAGGCGCGACGGGACTGGTGCCGCTCAGATCAGCAGAGATCAGCAGAGATCAGAGGCAACGTTCGGAGAACCAAAGCGCGAACGAGGCTCCTCGCAGCGCGCCCGGGCGTCCGCATCACTCACGCGGCAGAGTCCCCGCTGCGCTCCTTCCTCCCCCCCCACTCCACGTCCCAGTTGAATTTTCTGATATTCGGAAGCAGGGCAGGCGCGGGTTTGGCGGCTCTGTGGGTAACCCGCCGAGCCTCCGCCCGGTCTCCACATCCCCGAACCCACCGCCACCCCCATCTCGGTGGCGCAGAGGAGGCGCGGGTTACCAGGAACCGTCGCGACTCCGGGTGAACCCGACGCGGCCCCGGGTGAACCCGACGCGACCCCGGGTGAACCCGACGCGGCGCGCCCCAACCGTACCGCTGCCCCGCCGGCCCAAGCGTTCGGCATCACGGCCCCTCTGCTCGTCGTCTCAACATCACGGCGACACGCGCGAGCCCCTCTGCTCCTGAACGCGGTTGTCGAGGCTTGAGACGACGTGAGTGTGAATTCTCAATGCCGTTGCTCTGCATCCACGCATCGGCAGCCGTACGACGAGACGACGAAGACGTTCTCGATGGAGCCGCCGCCGCCGCCGCCTTTGAGAGCGGATCTCTCTCCACCCTCCGCCTCACCCCCACGCCACCCGACCCCTGGCGCCGTGGTGCTCGAGGTCACGCGGAAACATTTCCCGTCGCAGCGTTCATTGCGAACTCGCGCACGCGCGCGCGCGTCACTCCCAACGCGCCTCTATTTACCTGCAAAAATCTCGCGAAGCCGCGCGCTCCTACGCCGCGCTCGCCGTGAGCCACTACCATGCCGCCCCCCCCCCCCCTGCCCCCCCTCTGCCCCCCTGTGAGCAGGCGAAATGAAAGGCGTTTGTTCCTCTGATTACCCAGGAGGAATTCGTGCCCGCCCGCCCGACCGCTCGCTCGCCCGTCCGACCGGCGGGCGGGCGGGCGAGTGGCGATGGGGAAATCCGTTCTGGCGAAAGTGCGGCGCGACTCGCGCGGCGGCGCTCTGACAGGGTCTTCATCACGGTGTTTATTGTGGCTCTTTAGTTATTCGTTTAATATGCAACCTGCTGAGATGCGCTGCGGGGAGCCTGCGCGGTGCCCACGTTTCATTTGTTGATGTTACAATCAAACGGGCCCGCTGCTCTTTCTTTGTGTGTGTGTGTGTGGCGTCCAATGCAGCTGCCCGCAGATTTCTTTGCAGCTGAGAAACTGAGAGCCCCTTTTGTGCCATCAAAGCCCGACAAGGCCCATGAGCCCCGAGAGACGAACGAGGAGCTGATGTTTCACCAGCCTCCGTCTCCACACCATGATTCCGTCCTTCTCCACGCCATAGTAAATCGCAGAGCTTGCGATAGTCTTCATCCACGAGGATGGTTTTACCACGGCGTCGGCAGACTCGCGCGTTGTCGGAGCCTCCTGCGTGTCGCGACCGGACCCCTTGGCCTGCGTGCCAAGCACAGAAAAGCTCCGAATGAGCGAATCCGGTAGAAGGGCGGCACGACCACTGGGGGGGGGGGGGGCTGATGGGGAACGTCCTCGCTGCTGTGCTGCAGCTGACTGCCGCCGGCTGTGGCCGATGCCCTCGGTCAGCCGCTTGCCCCCCGCACCGCGTCGCTCCCTCTCGGCCGACCTGTTGTGCAAGGCGACGCCGCTGGGCAAGAGACCAGGGGGAGTCGTCTGAATGGGCTGTGCGCTCGTCAGGAAGTTTAACGCGTGGTGGTGGTCGTGGTGGTGGTAGTCGTGGTGGTGGTGGTGGTCGTGGCGGTGGTGGTAGTCGTGGTAGTGGTGGTGGTCGTGGTGGTGGTGGTGGTGGTAGTCATGGTGGTGGTCGTGGTCGTGGTGGTAGTCGTGGTGGTGGTAGTCGTTGTGGTAGTGGTCGTGGTGGTGGTAGTCGTGGTGGTGGTAGTCGTGGTGGTGGTGCTTTCGCGGCCAATATTACCCTTAATAAATGGTTTCTTTGGGCGGGTTACATCTATAAAAATATAAATGCGCTGTTAAAGCTGCCACCACCCGACGCAGCTAATCAATACGTTTTGTCACGTACACAAAGCGTGCCAATTGGATACTACTTCAGACTAAACCCAAATATTTGAAATTCCAGTACTCTGCCGTTCCGCTGGTGATTACAACAACCAGCTCCATCAGGCGATGGCCAGAATGGCGACATAGTCATCCTGCTTCGGTCTTCTTCTGAAGAAGTTGGGTGAAATATTCCATCTGTCCCGCAGTACGAAGGATACAAACGAATTTGTGTTTTTGATTGCGGGGGAGGGAGGCGTTAATAACGCACGGGGTTATTTTAATTATTGCAGTGTTTACGTGCTAGGAATACATTTTCAAATGAATATTTAAAATTTCAAGGCCATGCCTGAGCTGGTCGAGTTTCTAATGAGATTAAGGCAACGGATACATCTCGCCACGGTGGCGAGCTGTTAACTACCTCGCCAAGTATGCAGGAGGTCGGGGGTTAGATTCTGCCCCTGATGCGTGCTGCTGTATATTTGGAGTTTGCGGTGTCTCTCTCTCTATCTCTCTTCGTGGTCACGTGGACTTCTCTCCGCGTCCTCCGGGGTTTCCCTCCACATTTAGAATCAACATCACACGTTTAGAGTATTTGGCTGCTGCAAAATTCCACGCGATCAGCTACTTTGTTTCGCTATCGTTTGTGGCCAGGTCGCTTCTGACAAAGAGCTATATAGCTCAGTGGGCCTTAACTGGTAAAAAAATATATATACGTCGTATTTAGTTTTGTATGGCCACCAAACCTCCTCGCTTCCCTTCAGCCGTCGGTAAAGCCGAGATATTTTTTTT